TCGCCTGGTCTGGTATAAGCCAGCTCCTTCACACAAGGATGGAACCGCTCCCCTGCCCATCCCATGTAAAACGAGATTATACTACAGGGTGTGATATAGAAAAGAGCAACTAAAATGATCAAGTGGTAGAGCAACTCCCCTATGAAAAATCTGGGGAGATGTAGTAAATGTCCAGAATTATGCCAGGCCTGGAGAAAGTGGATAGAGAGACATTTTTCTCCCTCTGTCATAATACTAGAACCCAGGATCATCCTAGTATCCTAGGAAGCCAGATCAAGTTGACTGGTGGAAGATTCAGCATAAATAAAAGGAAGTTCTTCTTTACACAGTACATAGTTGGATTATTGAATTCAATACCACAAGATGTTGCAATGGCCACCAATTTGGATGGATTTAAAAGGGGATTGGACAAATTCCTGGAGGAGAAGGCTGTCCGTAGCTGCTGCATTGTTAAAACTAATTTCTGAAAATCATGGGCAAAAAGATAAAATTTAGGAGCATTTTAATAATGTTGGTTCCCTTTAGTGCTAATGATTGATTGCACTAAAATGGGAATCAAATTGTGATGCTAAACTGGCACAGAACATTTGCTTGGGGAAATAAACTAAGTAATTACCTTTATTTCAACTTTAAGAGTTTGATAGTTAAAAAAGAGTTGAAAGTAAGCTTGAAAGAGAATAGCATAGAGCCACAGAGTCTAGAAAGAACCACAAAAATCATCTAGGAAAGACATATGCTAATAGTGATGAGTGACCCACATCACTGATATAACTATCTCACAAGCAAAGAACAGCAGCCTGGAAGGACTAATTTAGGAAACAGATTGAGACTGGCCAAGTGAACAGACCACACAGAACTGCATGTTTTAAGGGAGCTCTGATACCTTTAGAAGTGGCATAGAAGACCAAAAGTGGACAGCTGTGAGCGCCCACTGAAAATATTGGCAGGTGCTTCAGGCAAAACATTATCTGGCAGACCCATCCTGACATCTGAGCCTAATTGCTCCTTTGCTCCCATCCATCTTCTCTTGCCAACACCTCTTTTCTCTTCCCACTTGGGCTACACGCTGACTATCCATATGTGCTTCTCATGGCTAATCTCAGATTGAAGTGGGCCTTCACCAGATGACTGCCAATGGGTTCAAGCTCTGCTGAAGCCCCCTGCCCACTTGCTTAAGTTTCCAGCCAGCCTGCACAAGGCACCACCCTGCCAGCTGAAGCTCCCAGCTGCCCCCATCCAAAGCCTGCAGGCTGCCAAAGCCCCCAACAACTGCCTCCATGCAGTCCCCACCTTCTTTTAGAAGTCCTCCACTTGCCTGCAGCCACCCACAGAAGCTCTCCACATGCCCAGAAGCTCCCTCCCTGCTATTTTTATTTTGCCAGATGGAGCAATCAGTGGTTGCTCCTCCTCTTTCTCACAGGGCCTGGCTGGCTCTTCTGGCAAAGCACTGAGGCAGCTGGCCTCCCTGCCCATTATTTCTTTACACACGTGATGAGAAGCAGCCCTCTGATACTGCCTTTTGGGGTTGGGATGCGTCAGCAAAAATCAGCAGTCTTTTGCTGATCGCTGCGACTCAGTATGTCTATGTGAGGTAGACATGCTTTGCCATGATGCTCCTTGTTGCTAGATGAGGGAGGGCGAAGGAACAGCAGTTGAAGCAGGTGCAGCATGGGCCTTGCTGTCCTGCCGGTTCTCTGCAGCTGCTCACAGGTACTCTCTGTGCCTTTCAGGGAACTCAGTCCCCGTCCCCCCTACCTAGGCTGCTGTTGCTCACTCATCCAGCCCCACTGGACAAATCACCCATCTCTTGCTCCTGCTGCTGAGTACACTTTGCAAGCCCTGTCAGAACCTCTCTCCAACATGGAGCCCCCCACCTGTCCTTCATTCTGTGAGACAGAAGCCAGAGTAAGCACTGGCTACCTTCAGTACCATGTGAGAGACTCGTCAAACCTCTCCTTCTCTGCAGATAAACTCCTGTGCCACCCACTTCCCAGCCACTGAGCCCCTTATTATGCAACATGGTGACCACAACATGAAACCCTAACCAAATAACAAAAGCATCTCCTTTATCAGTGCTTAGCAGCCATGAGATGATGTTCATCTTAATGTAACATGCTGCTCTGCCATCCAGTCCTCCGTGGCATATCCTAAACTGTCCTCACACAGCCTTGGTCAATATTTACTTCCCTTTGTAACGCGGACATACAGATGCACGTCTCCTGTGAGTCCAAAAGGGGTAATCAAATATCCCCACCCTGTGAGGCTCCAAATGTTACACAGAGATTTTGCAGGGGATAGATGTAAATTCTTATTCCTATTTTCTCCATTTACAAACAGACTCGGCATGCTGGCATTGCAGCCGTAAGAAATAACCACAGCAACATTTAGCCTGTGGTGCCAAGCCAACTCTGCAGGCTTCTAACCAAGAACCAAGAGTAGGCCTCCCCAACCTGGCAGCTTCCATACGTGCGGGATGACGAATCCCACCATCCCCGTCAATACAATGGACCTGCTGGCTGGGCATGAGACGTACTGTGCTCCCCACAGGTCAGGTAAGACTACTGTAGGTTCTTAGCTGGAAGTCAGCTGTTGCTGCTAATCCGGAGGGCAGAGGGCAAGAGTGGGCCTGGCACTGCAGTGGTGGAAGACTGGCCTAGAGACGAGGAATATGTGCCGAAAGAGGAAGAGGTGCAGGAGAGGGCTTGTTGGCAATTTGGTCAGGGGCCAAAGGATGGGGCCCTGTCCTTCTGGTAAATCTAATTGCTGTCAGAGGGCTTTAATGGAACCACAAGTCATATATCTTTACTGGAAATCCTAAAAATTCATTAACATTTTATCCATAATAAGAACAGAGAGAGCTTTCACTAGGGAGGCGTAAATCACCATTGAGCTATTTTTGCACTATTTATCCATATCTGATTGTCACTGATGTAGGAAAGAAAAGCAGCAAAGCAAAGGAACCTGTAAAATGAATGAATGAATGCTCTAAACAAAGGTGTTTGTGGTTCTTTTCCTGTTTTATCACAGGAAGATAAGTTCTGCTTTAAAGCTTTCCTTTTTCACAGTCACAAAAGGGAAACTGATGGTTATTATTTCTCTTGTTACTTTTAAGAGACAATTCACATGTTTTCAAAGTCAGTCTTTTGCCACAAGTCATACTGTTAAAACAAATAATAGTGGGGGGAACCGAAAGAGATTTTTGCATGCTGTTCATAATTCAAATGCAAAATCTAAACAAATGGCTGAAATACATACTTGATTTTAAAAGTCTCTTTTCTCTTGTCTGTCCTGCATGCATTAACTTGCAGTCACACATGCACAGAGAACACAAGAGCTTCAAAGGCAGGTAGGCAGTAGTAGGGAGATTATTCCTTTGCAGGGTACAGGAATGTGAGCCTCCTTCCTTGGGAGGGGCTGCTAATTAGTGGTAGGCCACATGATTTGCATGCAGACAGTTCCAGGTTCAGTCCTTGGCATCTCCAGGCATGGTTATGACATAATCCTGCCCCAAACTCTGCAGAGCCCTGGCCAGTCAGTGTGGGCAATATTGGGCTAGACAGAGCGAGGTTCTGACTTGGTATTTGCCAGTATTCTCTGTCCCTATACAATTTTACTCAGAAATAAATACTCCTGGGTTTAGCAGGCTAGTTCCAGGTAAGTGAACATACCATTGCAGCCTGGATATTGAATAACTAAGAACTTGTTATGACAGTATCTAGGTAGAGGTGATGGTTCCAAGAATTTGCTTGGTATTCCCTATGTCAGCACATACCTCTTTGGATTTTTGATTATCCAGGTACCTGGAATAAATGAAATACTACAGTATGGCAATGAATTGTCAGCTCTTGAGATGGCATTCATCAGGTTTTTTTACTTATAGCTCTACATGCCTACAATTAATCACAATGCAAGACTGGAATGGCGATAATAATGCATTCACTAAACAGAGCCATTTTGAAATATCCAAGGTCAAAGCTGTCTGTGCTTAAGCACCCCAAGACTTTACTGACATACATGCAAATAGTCTTCAAGGTCAGCCAGCCCCCCAAGGACAGGCTGTGTGATGATAATGTTCACACAGGCTGCAATTTCTCTGCTAGGCCATGTGTTGCAATGCAACAGCCCAAGTACAACAGACCATGCTACCTGGGTTCAGATAACACATCAAGTTGCACCCAGGCAACTACAGAAATTACTCCTGGCACATGCCATGACTTAAATTAAGGGTGCATTCGATGTTCAAGCCAGGTCACCGAGAGAGGACTAGAACAACAAGTCTAAACAAGCCAAATTCTGCAGCCCGTGGGCAATGTTAGAAAAGGCCTGCCTAAACCTTATCTTTTGAGCAGGATCCTGCATCTTTAGAGTTGATCCCAACCACCACCATTCACGTTAATACAAGCTTGCTGCTTCAACTCACCAGCCTTGCCCTTACTGGGAGACCTTAAAACACTCTCCCTTACCAGAATAATGGCGAGAGTGATAGGAAGGCACCATCCTTTAAAACTAGAGGGGCCCCCTCTCCTTCCATAGTCTGCTCATTATTTTCATTAAGCCTAGAATCCAAAACTGCCCGACAGCACCATTTTCACCTGGATTTCTTAGTGTGTGCCTGACTGTACAGAGACCTGCCCAGGTGATTGTTCATGAGCAATTTCACTTGTGCCTGGAGTCTCTGTAGGGAGTGATACCTAGGCAAGAGGAAGAGCAGGCGCACTGGCTGCTCATATCTGAATGGGGTGCCAGAGGCACTTCCTCCAAGCTTTGAGGCAAAGAGGGATTCAATGGGGAGCGGTGTCTAAACTTGGGGCATGGTACTGTAAGAGCATACAACTTGCCCTGGCTTGCTGGGATATAGCTAGGGCCCCTTGGCTCTATGATCATCTTTTGGGAATGCACCTGCTTTTGCATGATCCATGTGATCAGATTCTGGGGGGTGCATTGTGGTCCTTAGCACCAGGAATTTTCATTAGGCTAGAGAAAGGTGAAAAGATGTAGGTGGAGGACAGGAGCTTCTTCCTCTTTTCTGTTCAAAACCCCAATGCCCTGTGGCACCTTAAAGACTCACAAAATTAGTGAGGCATAATGAACTTTTATAGACCTAAGTCTACTGTACAGAAGGATATTTTGAAAGATTCAGCTTTTCATGTAACTGGAGAAAAAGAGCCCTTGCTGAAATTAAGGTACAAGAGCCCTGATGATCTCTGTTAAATCTGATCCCCTGGATTATCTGGGTTTTTATCCACTTCTTCTTAATTTCATTTCTGTGGCCCTGCACAGCCAAAGCTCTCTGGGTGGTTTACCAATTATTCTTCCCCTTCTGCTGCCTCACTTGAATGTTTTTGCCCGAGGTTTGTTCTCAAAGCAAATGCCCTTTGCTCCCCTATCTAGTCACCTCTCTTAACAAATATTGGAGTCCTTAGAAGGCGGGTTCTTGAAATGCACACACACAGCATGAAGCAGCTGGTGCAAATAGCTGATTTGGGACAGCAAGGAAAATGAGCTAATTCTTTTATTTGTTTGTTTGTTTGTTTGTTTAATTAATTATTGCATTTCTGCTGCCAGGAAAGGGGACAAGAGGTGATGGCAGGATTTTCTGCTTCAGAGGCCTAAACAACTTGATTGGGTTTGAGTTCTGTTATGCACCTTGCTAGGCCTGAACATGGCTGCAGAGACACGCGGGACAGGAAAAGGGAGCCAAGGTAGAACAGGAAATTATTTAGGGCAGGGAAACAATTGGAGCTACAGAGAGATGTGTGGAAGGAGAACCTGGTTCAAGGTTGTATCAAACTCACTCTAATCCTAAACATGTTTACTCAGTGGGATTTACTTCCAGGTAAGTGTATGCAGAATTGGAACCTTACTCCATAGTAAAGATGATCACAGCAGCAACCTGCTTTGTCTATCCTGAAGACAATTCCAGTTATCTGGATCTAGAGAGAAACCCTGGGGAATGATAACTTTGTATATTTAAAAAACAAACAACCATAAAGAATTGTAGTCCCAAATCCAGAATCAGTTAATACCTTTATTAGGAGTTTTTATTGGTTCTAATAAAGGTATCCAGCTATGCATGTTGGCACTTGAAGAGATTGTAGATTTTATAATTTCCAGTAATTAGAACCCAAAGACTATAAAAAGTGTTATAGAATCCCAGAAATGGCTCAAACAAAATATCTGAAATAAAATGGCCACTTTTGACAGTGGCTGTCTGTGTTCTCACCTGGAACACAAGTGGAGCAGAGCCACATCCTTGACTCCTGAGGTTATTGACTGTTATGCTTGCTAGTGCTGGGTGGGTAGTGGATAAAAATGAGTGTAGATTTACCCAGAAGTAAGTCCCAGTACGTTTAATGGGGGTGGCGCCTTAGTAATTGTGTAAGAATATGGGTTGTGACAGTTTGCTGTATATTCCCACATACTTGCTCGCTCTTTCGCATGCCGTGCAGCCCCTTGCAGTACCAAGCATTCCATCTTCCCATCCAAATCTGGGTGTGAAAGACCAAGAAAAAATGTGGGGTGTGGAGGGTAAGTCTTAAGTAAGTACAGCTGGGGAGATAGCATGGTCTTCCCGTGACAGTGAGCAAGTGGGTAATCAGCTTGCTTTCCATACAATTGAAATGGTAGTAATAATTTTAATTATGCAGACATACTTGCATATATCAATCAGCATATGCAAATATTTATGAACCCTGAATTTTTTTCATACCTAACATTGCTCCTGCTGCAGCCCCCAAACCTTGAACAAAGATAAAAGAGTTTGCTTAATTTGTATACTTTGTTCTGAATATAGCACTTTGCAAAGTTATGCAGAATGTAGAAATTCTGGCAGGAATTTGGATGGAGAAAGAAAAGAAGGAATGACAGCCATGGGACACTGTGGAAATAAGGAATCATGTGAGAGACAGGAAACTCAAGGAAATGATGCCGCCCCACTCCAGAAGGTTTGCTGGAATCCCTTTGCACTTCTCTGTTTTCTGCCCTGAGCTTTCGCTAGATTTGACCTGCCTGTTTTCAAGTAGGATTAAAGTTCTGTTCTTTCTCCTTGCACAATGGAAGTTAAGATCTTGAGGGCAATGCACATGGCATCATGGCTCTTGTCATCCAGCCTCTCGATCAGGGATGGGGCATGACAGAGAAGAAAAAAGGCACACTCACTCATTTGACAAAAGTTGTAGGTAGCCACATCGGTTGTTCAAAAGGCACCCAAAAGCCACCCTGCAGTAGCCTCTTATTAAGACTAGTCAACATGTCAAGAGTTGTGAGCAAGATCCAGCCAGATTAAGATTTCTGGAGAACCCCAAATCTTGCTCTTGGCTTTGTGCCTGTTTGGCTGGTCCTAATGCAAGTATTGCCTAACTGCGTGTTTTGAACTGCTAGCCAATGCTAGAGATCTGCTCTCATACACTGTCAACAGAAACCTACCAACAGAAGGTCTTTCCATGAGCAGCCCATTATAGGGGAGGCAAAAGTTGGAGGTGGGCAAGATACTTTATCCCTGAAAATTCATAGCAAGGGCATCTGATTATGTCCAGCAACACTTCTGTCTTCCCTCAGAAGCACACTGTGAAGGTCCCATTTCACCAGCTGCTCTGTAAACCACGGCAAGATAACATTTTTATTCTGTTGCCCTTCCTTCCACTACCAGACACACACAAATACAAATGACTGTTCTGATTTTCATTTTGATATAAAATGTATGAATTTAATGTTTTGCCTATTTAAAAAACACAGAGCTAAACCTTCAAAGCATCCACAATTTGGTACTGGAATGGGAGTCCAAAAGTTTGGTTTTAAAATGTTCCAAAATCTGAATTTGTTTTTTCTACTTGACACTTGGGAAAAAAATCTGTTTCTGGTATTTAAGTGTCAGCGAAGTTTGTTTTTAAACAACAGTTTGACTCACCTATCAGAGATGGAGCATTTAAAAGTCAGACTTGGTGCACACTAGAAAATCTAAATTCTGATGGTTTTTTTTTCCCCCTTTCAAAGCTCAGATTACCTCAAATGGATTTGATGCAGGGATCATCCCACTGCTTGATCACACCATGTATTCAAACATGCATATATCAGTGCACATACACCAGTGTGTATTTCTAGTCTATCACCCCCACAGTATGCACCTCCTTTTGATAAATATCCTCAGAACCAGCCTGCTTTGGCTGAGAAGCCAATCTGTTCCTGGAACCTATCCATCACATGCATGCACCATTCCCTCAAGAGAAGGGGCAAAGGCTCTTGACCTGACTTGGTAGGGGCTGCTGCCTTCTTGAAGAAGCAGGAAGGAGATGAATGGACAATCACGGAGCTCTTTCAGATGCTTGTCTGCAGGTCACCATTGAGCAATGTCCTCTGGGTTTCTGTAGCCTCATTTAGCCTGGACTTGTCCTGCTTGCTGTCACTCCTGTCCGTTTCATCCATGCCACTCACTTTCACCAGGCAGAGGACATTCTGGAAGCTCTTCTTGAAGTTATCAGACAAGAAGGCGTAAAGGATGGGGTTGGCACAGCTATTGGCATAGGTGAGGACCACTACAAAATCAAACATGCCCTTGAGGACCGGTGTTGGCACAATTGAAACTGAGACCGATGAGACGTTGAAGATGTAGAAGGGCAGCCAACAAAAGATGAAAACAGCAACCACAATGGAGACCATCCTGGTGACCTTTTTCTCTGATTTTTTCCTTTTGGAGGAGCCCACTCTGATGCCAGAGGATTTGACCTTGATGATGATGAACAGGTAACAAAGGCAGATGATGGTAAGGGGTACTAAGAAGCCCAGGATGAAGGCGTAGATGATGAAGGCAGCATACCAAGCACCAGAGTCATCTGGCCAGATCATGGTACAACTACTGCTCCCGTGGTTCTGGCTCACTCCTGCATATATCATGATGGGCAAGATGACCAGAAGGGAGATGCCCCAGACAGCTACATTGACCATCTTTGCTGTTCTTGGCCGTCTCCACTTGGCAGATTTGATGGGGTGCACTACAGCAAGGTACCTATCCACACTCATTACTGTGAGGCAGAAGATGCTGGTGAACTGGTTGATCCCATCCACTGTCATGACGACGCGGCAGATGGCTTTCCCAAAGGGCCAGTGAACCAGAGCCACCTGCATCGCCAGGAAAGGCAGTCCCAACATGAATAGTTCGTCAGCTATGGCCAAGTTGAGTATATAGATGTTGGTGATAGTCTTCATCTTAGCGTAGCGGAGAATGACATAGATGACCAGAGTGTTGCCACACAGGCCCACGATGCACACCACAAAGTAGATGAAGGTGAGGATCGCATTGCTAGTCAAGTCATAGTGGTGGCTTGTGATGTTGATGGAGGCATTGGTGGCAGGAGTCTCTGGGGAAAAGCTGTCAAACTGAGAGGGTGAGGGGAACCAGAAGGCTGTGGTGTTGGGAAACTCATTCTCCAGGCCCATGGTGCAACAGCTGTCACTGATTGCCAGGCAAACACTATGTTTCAGACAGAGAAAATTGTCATGCTGATGGATTCAGAGTGGTCCAAGATGAAATGAGGGGATCTAGGATTCAAGCACAGGACAAAGAAGGAATAAGGGCTGTCATACCAATTGTGCATTGCTTGCTGCATCAAAACACATTTCTATAACTGTTCTGCTAAACACCTTCTTCAAGTCCTCTTGGTTTTTCCTTTGGGTAGGACATTATGATGGATGAAATTGCAATAATTCATTACTTCTGATTGACTCTGGGAGAGACCAAAAACTTTAAAAACACAGGAGGCCTCTTGGGGCAATTCATGGATTGTTCTCAAACTATGTTGATTGTGCTTCTAACCACTTGGACAAATGTGGAGAGGGGCATCATGTCCCTATTTCCTGTCATCCCCCCTTACATCACAGGTGGGAAGTCTCTTTCAGTCCAAAGGGTGAATTTCATTTCAGAGAAGTTTCAGGGGCTGCATTCCACCTGTGGGTGAGACCAAAGGCAAAATGGGTGGGACCAGACATATCAAAATGCCAGCTGATTGCAGATTAAAGCTCTTCCTGCCAGCAACTGAGCCTCGGGAAAGCTATTTTAGCCTTTTAGAATGGGGAAACCCCACACAGAAGCTGGGAAGCCACCAAAGGATGGAAAGGGGTGCAGAATCCCTAGACCAAGATTTGACCCCCAAGCCTGACATTCCCCACATCAGCCTTACAGGTTATTTCATTCGGACATAATGCTTAGGCTAACAGAAGTAAAAGGGAAGGGAAGAGGGATTTCCTGAAAAGATAGTGGTTCAGCTGCCCCAGCCCAAGGCACTACAATTAAACCTGCATCTTAAGTCAATCCACAATGTTTTGAGACTCTAACTCAGTGGGGCTTACACATGCCAATTAGTAGTCATTAGTGTGTGTGTGTGTGTATTTCATTCATGAGCTTTCCTCTACAGTTTTTAAAAAGTTCACATGTACAAATCAGAAAACATGTTTCTATTACTTTTTCCAAACCATGCAAAGTTTTATGTACAACAAATGCCCCACGGGCTGCGTATGCAAGCGGTAAACCAACCTTCCCTAAGCTGGTGTCCTTCCGATAGGCTGCCCTGCAGCTCCCATCAGTCCCGTTGGCTGTGCTGGTGGAGAATGATGGCAGATGCAGTCCAACACACCTGGAAGGAACCAGCTGGGCTGGGGAAAGGTTGCAACAGACCATTTCTTGGAGCTGATAATAAAAGATGATGACTGCAATCCTATACCCTCTTACCAGGAAATAAGTCCTTCTGAAATTCCTGGACCTCACTTCTGAGTAGGGATCTATACAGTTATGCCACCTAAGTCATTCTTTTCCATCTGCCTTTCAAGCAAATTGGGCAACATTTTCTCAAATATTTGTGAGGAATACATTCTGTCTCTATCATATCTCTTTTAGCTGTCTCTTTTCTAGACCATTGTTTTATTCACTTTTGTAGTTATGACATTTTAATCCCTCTCTGCACCTATTCTCTGTTCTTGAGGAGGAATGGCCAGAGCATTTGAGGTGTGACCATGCCATTAATCTATACAAATAAGAGCATGTCAATATTTTCCATATACATGTATATCAATTTCTGAGAATTAGTACACTTAGTTGTCCTTTCTTTGATGGCAGCAGTATTTCGAACTAATCCCACCCAGCCCCCACCCTCAGGACCTTTTTACATTTCCTTTGGATCTTTGCTTTCATGAATCTCAGAGACTTCCAATTCATAATGCAATTGGATGTGAAGAAGTCATGGTTTTCTCCTTGTACTTGCGTCCTTCTGTCACTTTGCTCTCATCAAAGAATGGCTCCCTCCCTCCAAGGAACAGGTCACAAACCAACATTGAAATCGATGCTGTTAAGTGCTCCTTGTTCCGTGTAGCCTCTTAGTCTCTAGCTCTCTTGCAAACTGATGCTTCTGTCCAGCAACAGTACTGAATCTGTCCCTTCCCTTCTGAAATGCAATTACCCATTATCATAGATGACAAGACATTTCATTTAGGAAAATGCAGGCTGCTGATGGGTGGGGCAAATTGGTGCATCAAGAGGAATCCATTAAATTCCATCGCTTTATATAAATGTCAACGTTGCCAAAAGGAACCCCCCCCCCCCGCATTCACTCTTTTCTCTAACAGCCAGGTCTTTCTTTAGCCCTTCTGTTCAATGCAAGTTTGCTATTGGCCTCTCTCTTCATTGACATCCTTTTTTAGACTGTGGATAAAGTCCTGTTGCTGGATAGTATCTGATGTCTTGAACAGAGCAGAAACGGATTGTTCTCTCTGATAAATATCCTGGATATGAAGCGGCAGCCCCCCATTCCTCTCCTTTTCATTTATGGATTACATCACATCAAACTGTAAAAGATGGGGGCCTGGGGGAGAAATGGGGTGCCTCGCAGGTCTTCTGCGGTGACAAGATAGTCCTGTCTCCAGTCACATACAGCAGTCGTCCCTGTTGCTCCCAGCACAGAGTTAGTAACCAGTTTTGGATGCTTGTAGAAGGGACAGGGAAGGAATGTAAATGCAGTACCATCTGTGACAGAAGTGAATCTTTTTATTTCCTCGAGTGCTGCACTTGCCTCTTCCTCTTCCCGTCCCAGCTCCCACTTTATCCTCAAAGCAGCACTGTCAGGTGGACTGGGCAGAGGAAGTCATCCCTGGCCTGAGCTCACCCAGGCAGGGAACCCCATGATCCAGTGAGGTTTCAAGCCCAGGTCTTCCCACTCCTGTCTTCTGGTGTTTTGAGGAAAGGTAGTGGTTATCTACAGAGGGCTCTGCGCAAGAAGAGTGTTCGAGAAATAAGACTACCCTCCATGGGAGCTGCTGATGACATGTTATGTCTTGAAATCACCATCAGAATCGCATTTACATAAGTTAATATAATGAGTTAAAATGCTTCTCAGACATCTGAGAAGCACAGCCACCCTGTAGGCTTGGCCAATTTCTCCTTATTGCAGATCAGGCGAATTGAACACTGGCTTGAACGCCCTGAAAATCCACTGAGGGGTGAAATCTGAATGAGGGATTTCCCGGCTCATTCGTGCTAAGGAGTTAACCTGTGGAAAAGGTGAAGTGGGCTGGAAGCAGACGGGAATATCAGCGCATGAAGCGGTGAAGCAAACCTACAATCCAAAGATCATGTTCTCTTGACCAAGTTTCAGAGATGCCCACCACCCGTATGTCCGTAATGGGCAAATTGGGCGCTATAGCAAATTTCCACCGACTTTTGTGACAGACGTTAAGCAGAAAGGACGGCTTTTCTTCTATACGTCTTTAAATGATGATGATGATGATGATGATAATTAGTAGTAGTAGTAATCGTGGAAAGCAAAGCTGCTACTGGGGAAAAGGTTCTTATACTCTCCGAGTCTGAGGCAGGGGGAGAGAGACGCAACGCAATATTTACTCAGAAGCAAGCCTCATTTTAATGCAATTGTCTCAGAGGCAGAACGTGTCCTAAGAATGCAGCCCCCTCCTCGCATCAATATTTACTCAGAAATAAATTCCACTGAGGTCAACAGAAAGTATTTCCCAAGGAAAGCCCCTAGGATTTCAACCTTGATTTCTGCGAATCGAGAAAGAAACAGAAGGGGGGGGGGAGCGGGGCGGCGCGCAGATCCAGCCCCTCCAGCCCCCGCGCACGCAGCGCCCGGGCCGCCGAAGGGCCGGGGCAGAAGTTTCCCGGGACCTCTTCGGAGGGCTGATCCGGCTAGTTCGGGCAGGCTTCCTCCAGAGAAGTTTTCTCTCTCCACCTGTAGCTCTCCCCGCGCTCCCCCCCCCCCGGCTCTTTTTGTGCCAGCCCCCCCCCCCGTCCCTCCCTCCAACGGCACTGGGATCACTCACACTCCGCGATTTCGCCGGTCTGCTCCGTGCGCCACGCGACCCTGCCCGGGTGTGCGCGAAAGAGCCCTCGCGGCTGAGCCGAGGCACCGGCGTGGCGCCCCGGGGCAGGGCGCAGAACGAGGCGTGCGCCGCTCAGCCGCCTGCTTCGGGATGAGGCGAGACGGCGCCGATCTGCTCTGAAACCCGGAGACGCGGAGCAGCAGATTGCAGGCTCGCACGCAGAGGGAGCTGCAGGCGCGGGAACGCAGGCAGAAGAGGTGCCTCGCCGACGTAGCCAACCGGCGAGCGGAGCCCAGAGCTCGCCCGCTCGCCCCCTCCCTTCCCGCCACTCCCCCGTCAATTAATTGTCCCCGCCGCTCACGGCAAAGCTGTGTCACGCCGCGCCAGGGCTGCGATGCAAGCGGGGAAAGCTCAAGTCCACCTTGCAGAAACGGGGGCTTGCGGGGAGGGGAGGCCAGGGGGAGGGGAGGGGGAAGTGAAGCCTGCCTGGAAAAGTGGGGCGGGGGGATGCGATCACGGCAGGGTTGCAGCTGCCAAGAAGTGAGCCCCAAAATGGCAGCGCCCGCCCGGACACTGTTGGCGTTGGATGCAGTAACAGGCGGCGGGAGCAGAACACTTGGCTTGCGAATGCGGAGTCTGTCAAAGCCTCTGGGCGCAGGTATCTTGGAGGAAAGGTTAGCTAAAGTGGGAATCAGCAACTGGTGGCTCCTGCGTTAAATCCCCCCCCCCACCGCCTCATTTTCATCACCACCAAACTAGAGGTGCAGTCGTGAAATTATTTGGAGCATGCAGCCCCAACAGCAGGGCTTGCCTCTGGGTCAGCTTGGAGGTGGAAAGCAACCTGGTTGCAAGCGAGCCCCTAGCAAGGCTACTGGGCAAAGGGATGTAGACAATGTACCTGCCCGCTCTGAGATTAGGGACCAAGTCCCCCTTCGTTGTCCTCAGACGTGAGTGATTTTCTCCCCTTCATATTGAGGTGTGATGGAAACAGGCATTGCATGGAACGTGCTTCCAGGCACAGATCCATTTCTAGGAGAACACATTTCTCAAAATGATCAGGCACCAAAGATGTTAGATCTGCAGAGCTAACAAGTGGAATCTTGACCTAGAGAACACCTTTTTTTTTTTACTGGGAAGTGAAACAGCCCCAGCTTCTTAGTAGTACCTCAGACCTGATGATAAGTCCACACCTCCAGACCTGGCTATGTCTTCCTCATTGTATCACCTCTGTGAACAAAGTAAATTGCAAAATGTACCAGCAGAAAGGCTGGAGCCACAAGAAAACTGCCAGTGAGTGAAGCAGATGCTTCATTGCCCAATAGCAAAGACCACCTACGCAACTGCCGGGCAAATATTTGACCTAAACAAAGGGAAGAAAAGCCAGCAAGCAAAGAATAGCCAGGCCATTTTGCTTTGGGAGAAGGTGAATATCTGAAAGATGGTGGGAGCCGTATGTGGTTGCTTCTCTTCACAGTTCTGGAGTTCAGGAGGCAGGCATTTCATGTATTCCCTTGAGTTCAGACATATGCCTGAGTGTCTACCTCTGATGTCAGCCTACTGAGAGCTGTGTAAAACCTCCCTTGCATCACATCCACAGATATGCTCTAGGCGCCCTGCTCTTGCCTCCCATTGATACTGTGTTGAACACTGCTGTGGTGACTGTATACTCTTGCACATATTTGCCGTCTCTTTTCTCACTACCAAAGGAGATGACTTCACTGTGTACATAGTAATTGCTTCACCACTGGCAAATTATGCTTGGTTTGCTCTTTTAAGTCACTTTCTTTTCAAGCGAGCTTCAAAAGTGACTAACGAGAAAGATGCTACAACAGAAACACTCCTTCAAATGCAATTATCAGACACAGCATTAAGCTAACCAAATGTCTGGAGACAACAGTTGTCCTGCACACTAGTAGCCAGCTCTCTCTCTGTGGACCTTTATGTTGCCAAGATGGCACTACCCATGCACACAAGACAGGTGTTAGCAGGCTTGTGAGTCCATGCCTGTATTCTTTTCTGTGTCTTCTCTTCTAGGAGTCGTGAGTGGTGTGTGCGTGTGTGCACATGCGCATGACATGCTTCACAATATCCTGTGCCAAAATGTTGGGCAGAGCACAGCTTGATGCCATTTTATAGAGGACACTCTCCAGGAAGTTTTGGCTCCTGGCGGCATTCGTGAGGGACCAAAGCTTACACCGGGTCTCAAACCACTCGTTCCCTGTTTGTTTTAGGTGTCCCCTCTCATTACTGAGCATTGTGCAAAGAACAACAACTTTGACTGGAGATTATTATTCTTGATCTTGAAGGGACATCCCACATAATCATACTGATACATATTCCAGGTGTTATTCCAAAGTGTTGTTTGGGGTAGACAGACATAAACATGGAAGGTTCTTACACAGTTTATTATTTGAGCCCTGTGTGGAAATGCAAACCATGAACAGTGAACTGGTAACCTGTTTCAGCATCATCTACCTTCAGGCTGATTATTCGGTATTTTAAGAGGTTCTATTTCATTTTAAGAGGTTTCCATTCTATTTCTGAGAAGCCACATAATACAATTTCACGTAACAGCCGAGAAAGGCAAGCATCATTAGATATAACAGGGGTGGCCAGACTTGCTGAATGGAAAAGCTGCATAGAGTAAATGTCAGATGTTTGAGAGCCACAAGACATGAACAAATATTTATTTATTTAATATTATTTATGTATCATGACTTTATGAAAGTGTGGTTTTGCTTATCAGTGTATGCTTTTTTAAATATGCATGATAAGGCACATAGATACCTGGAGCACTAACTGTGGAATGCCCTTCCCAGAGAAAGGGATCTTTAGAAACAAGAACTACTCAAAGCAAAAGCCATATTAATCAAAAATAGCAGGGTTTCTTTTAACAGTTGGCACAGACAGAATACCGGCAATTATAGTTCAGTGAGAAGTGCTGGGCATCCTTTCTTAGAATTCCACCAGGAGGACCAGGTCCTATCGGGGACCTCTGAAAGGGCTGCAGAAGGGATGAGCCGCAGCAGGATGGCCATCTTCAGGGCCGTCACACAAACAACACAAGTCCTTTTTGGAGCTGCAGCTGGTCCCTGCTGTGTCCACATTCAGGAAGGGGATCAAGATGCCACGTCCGAAGTTGAATTTTAAACCAGCAGGAGTGGGTGGGGCATGCTGGGGCATCTTTTCTGAAGGTCTCTTATGTGCTTGGTTTCAGAGCTACATCTTCACAGGTGTCCTTAAGAACTATGTTATATCTTTAGTATGTACAGATACAGGTACATGAGGGGAGTGTCCCATGAGGTGTTGCTTCCAACTGTACATATGAAAATGCACCAAATAATAATTACTTTGTTTCTTCATTGGATGTCGAGAGTTTCAGCCAGCCACTTACAGGTGAAGCATGTACTGTATTTGAGGGACGCCGGACACTATACAATGCTGCCACTCCACTTAGGCTGTTGGTGTAGCTGTTGAGGGCCAGGGCCAGGGCATGAGTAGAAGGAGAGTAAACAGAGGACCAGGGCAACCAGGGACCAGAACTTGAGGTGAGCAGAGTCCAGTAATCAAAACCAAGATCTGTGGCAAGGCAGGACACAACAAGAACCAAATGCAGCAACGGCCAGGCAAGGTGCAGAAGCTGAACCACACCACAGCCAGCAAGAAAACCCATGATGCTGAGGGGAGACAGTGAGGCAGGACGCAGGTCAGGCAAGATGTAGGCACTACAGCAAAGAGACCACCTATATTGCTGAGGCCCTCTCTGGAGGGCAATCCCCATCTCTGCACTCCTTCTGGGTTCAGAGGGTATGGGCAGCTGCTTTGGACAGTGCTGGACGACTGTAGCAATGCTATGAAGGTGGATGCATTAGAAACTCTCCTGAGCCCAGTGAGACAGACTTTCAAATAGGCATACTTGGCTCAGACTGCTGGCCTGGAAGGGGTCCGTTTCCAATTGCCACAGGCTTGTGCTAAATAAGTCTGCATTTGCACCAGTGCTCCACATCATACCGATGTTTAGTTTAGTCCCTCTTCCCACCAGCAGAGGGGAGGGAGCTTGGCAGGGGAGTTGGAAGCATTCCTGCTTGAGAACTGCCGCCAGTCAATGTTGACAGCAGTGGGCTAGATGGACTGCAGCTTGACTCAGACGCCATGTAAGGCAGCTGTCTATGTTCTTGATGTGCTCACAACCCACTAATTTTGGTGTGCTTGAAGCCCAGGCACACAATGAGCAGCGCAGGATTTAATTTTGGTAAAGTCCCCACAATGGCAGGCTGAGGCGAGCTGGCTTTGCAGACATTTCCAGGGAAAGGTACAATCTGGATGATAGCCAATTGATTTCTGCTGAGCCAGTTGCAAGGACAGGCCAAGGTCATTGTTTCTGGTCAGTGGGCAAGCTGAGGCTGGCGTGTTTACTTGCAAGTAGATCTGCTGCAGGCAGGAGCTAGGATCAAGTACCTCATTCAGCAGAGTTGGAAACAGCTCGGTGCATGGGAGAACGCTGCCCTCTGCCATTGCAACCTGCCTGTCCATAGTGTTTATCTTGGCACTCCAAGAAGCAGTGCAAGAGTTTTCACAGGGGAGGCACGTCAGTCTACTGCCGCAAAATCCACAGATTGTCTTGCGCCACCTTCAGGACTGATTTATCTGGGCATGAGTTTTGTGAACTGTAACCTGCTTTGCCAGATGCAGGGAGAGCTATGGAGACTGTCATGTTTATATGCAGTTCACTGAGTTGAGCTGGTGGGGTGGGGAGAAGAACTGGAAACAGGGAAGTCTGGATTATCTAATGATGCCCCCTGGCATCTAACAAAGGCTGGAAATGGTGCCTAGTCAGGGGTATGCTGAAGGAAGCCATGAAGTCTGCTCCAGCTGTACCAACCTGGTCTGTTTAGAAAGTGCAGTGTCTTAAGAAAAGTGGCTGTACTGCAGTCACACCCTTAGAAAAGCCACCCTTGATTCTTGTAATGAAGACCGTAGAAGCAGGAACCGGATGCCGTATTTTAAAAGCACGAGATAACTGTGTCAAGAGTTATTGTGTTTTGTACCCTATCTGTCAGCAAGGGTTAGTTACCAAGTAACAGTCTCTTTGGACAGGCAAACCAAAGAGGAGAGGTTTGGGTTACAGAGATAACCTTTCCACTGGACTCCTGAAAAAATTTAGAGGCAA